AAAACCTCATGATGAGTTGGTGAAAGCCTGACGAAACAGTCGGGCAGAGTCATGCTTGTTTTGTGGAGTTGTGTATAGTGAGCATGACAACGCACACACATGTGGAGCGTGGCGCGACACTCTCCTCTCAGCGCTCTCTGACCCACACACATTGTCAGGAGGCGACGCTTGCCACATGCCCCTTTCTCTCTTTCTCTCTTCCTGTCTCTCTCTCGCTCGCCCGCTCTATCACGTACACGCACACATCATCAGGCCACCCCTCTATTTTTACCTCGCCCGCATGAACTACTTCAAATCTTCTCTCCATCTCTCCAACATTGCATKGTTTGCAACTTGGCGACGACCAAGGCCAAAAGGAGAAAAAAAGAAAGCCTCCGGTAATTGTGACTGTTCGTGTAGATGCGTGCGGGTGATATACAACCGTCAGGTGAGGCTGACAACCCATGCCTTGCCTGTTTGAGTGGAAAGCCAATGGGCAGAAAAATTTGAGTGGGGAAAAGAAAAACAGGCATGGTGAACCCATGGCTCGGTAGATTGACCTGAACACGCTGAAAAGCGAAAAGCCGCAAAAGGGGAAACAAAACTTAAAAAAAGACACGACTTGTAGAGGTCCTTCTCAACGAACGATAAGACACGTAAAGGCAGCGATTTTTGGGATAAGGCACGTCAGTGGGTACACCCATGTGAACTGGGGTAATACAGACCTGAGTTCGAATCCAGTTAATGGAACGGGACGAATAAAACTGTAAAACCAATTTTTTTTTTTGAAAATTTTTCTGAATTGCCTGGGGCCGGTCAGCTCAATGATGACATAGCAAGGCCGTCGCCTTTGTTTGTTTGTTTGTTTGTTTGTTTGTTTGTTTTTTTTGAAAGAAAGAAGAAAGGCAGCAATCACGTGGTAATCGACTGTCAGGGGCCTCCGGAATAATGAGCATATGCACCCTCACATTTTCCGCCTGGGAACTGGTGGATGATTCTTTTTCGGAGTTTTCCTTTTTTTTCCTTTTCCTTTCTTTGTCGTTTTTGCCAAGGCCTTGATAATGAAAGGATTTAGTAAAATAAATAAATAAATAATAATAATAATAATAATAAAGAAAGCATCTAGTGTCGGATATGGGTGTCGCAATGAGCGCAACAGCCAATGAGGTTGGCGGGTTGATGCCGCAAAATAGCCGCACGTCATCTGTCTATTATAATTGTTGATTTTTCTGTCGACAAAAATCAAGTTATTAATTTCTGATTTTTGTCGAGAAACGAGTCTTAAAGAGGAGGGGGCGGGGAGTTGGGGGCGAAGATGACAGAAATGCGAAGGATTAGGTAGGCATGCGGAGGATGCCATCCGCCCACCTTGCACTGTGAATGGTTTGGGTTTGTTTCACACCAAGACGCCGTTGTGAGGGCCAATCAGTTTTTAATAACTTTCTATCGATGTTAAATTGTCTATGGTTACGAGTCTTATGACATTGACGAGGGGGAAAAAGCTTTCTTGGTTTGTTTTCCAATGGCGAAGCAACGCAACGCGCACTTCAGTGCATTTCTTTTTCCGCTTATTGTCGTGAATGGACTCTCGGTTCCTCGGCTGTTGGCTGGTAGGTGCTTTGGAGTGTCTGTGCAGGATGACAACTGTCGATTAATTTAATATTCATTTTTAGAAATTTATTTGAATGGTTGATTTGGGTTGTATTAACCAGCAGAGCTGCTTCTCTTTTTTTTTTTTTTTGTCTTTTTTTCTAAGTAGCAAATCCGGATATCCGGCAGACCAATTTTATCCGGAATTTTCAATCCGGATGAAATTTCCGGATTGTTTCCGGACGTGGAAAATCCAGCCCTGCGCAAAATATTTTTTTTTTACCTAAAAAAAAAATTCAAAAAAATCTGGAAAAAAATTATGTTGTTCATATCAATGATATGAACAACTTTTGGCTTGAGGCCATCTTTGATTACTCTTCCCTATCTTATCCCCTTTGAACCCTTCCAGGCCCTATCAAGCTTTTCATGTAAAAGGAACCTAGCTCTATTGTATTTTGCATTCGCAATATCACTTTTTTTTCTTTTTTTTTTTTAGCTTTTTTTAGGCCTTTTTTTTAATCATCCGGATTTCCGGATGATCCTACCCTCCGATCATCCGGACAGATAATCCGACCAGATTATCCGGCCAGATAACCCATGCTACCTAGCTTTTTTTCTTATTCCTTATTAAAACCTAGGCTATATTCTTCTCTCTAATGTTTCATCATCTTTCAAATTATTCCTTTTCAATTCACCTTCTCTACGTACCTAACCAGGACTGCTCCTAAGGCTTATTATTTATACAGGGGACCCCTGCGAACATAGCTTTCTGTTGTCTCCCTCCAGCCATCGGACGGGGGGGATGCATGTGGCCGCCAGCCCCAACCGCGGTGGTCAAGGTGCTCTTCAGTTAGTGTAATGTTCAACATTTTGCTTGAAAAAAAGTAAAAAAAAACACAGAAAAAAAGAAAGTGGCTGAAGGATGTTCGCGGGGGCACATGCCGGAAATTGCACCGGGGCATCGGTGAGATTTGCACAGGCGCATTGATGAGATTTGAGGAGGTAGGCTGGAAAGATTGTACAGCGGGGGAAAAGAAACGAAGGAGGACTGCAGAGTATACAGAGAATAGCTCCCCACCAATAGATGGAGCCCTCCCCAGGGCCGTGGTCCCACTAGCAAAGGGGTTAGGATAGAAATCCTGAATCTGGCTGGTAGGATAGAAATCCTGAATCTGGCTATGTAGGATAGAAATCCTGAATCTGGCTATGTTTCATGCAGAGATACAGAAAAGCA